TCTGAAAAATAATGGTATCAGATTTTTCTCACATTTGCATTTCTCAATAAACTTTCTTACTATTTACATATATTGTTTGGCTCTATAATGTATTTTTTTACACAATTAAAAAATTCTTTTGTTGTATCATTATATTGTACCGACTAATAAAACTGACAATAATAATAAAGACTATTTTTCAGAAAAATTTATTTAGAAATTCCAGTTATCGAATATTGCTGCACATGACTGACACGATAATTGTTGATATATTTTCATAATCATAAATTTCATATTGACGTTCGTAACAGCATACGGTATTAGTCATTTTCATTTCCTTCTTTGCCTTTCACACTTTAGTATGACAAGTCGATGGTGGGGAGTCAGACGATATCTCTTCGTCTGAAGAAAACTCGACAGTCCACTAGTGAAATTCGTTACGTAAACGTCAGTAAATCACGACCGATCGACGGCGATGTAACTGGTTGTTCAGTTTGGGCGAATGAAATACTTATTATGTGCGCGCGAAAATTGCAAATCTTCAGTTACAGAGTATCACATTGCGACGTTACATTTCTTGTTAAAACATTATGAGATATATCGTCAATGAAATAGCGTTTTAACATTTCTAAAAATAGATCGACTGCAATCTACTGCAAAAAGAAACAACAAGAGGCGTAAGATAATTCAATTTAAATCTATAAATTCATCATGATTTTTAAAGATATAAAAAATTATTTTATATATGTAGTATATACTAAAGAATACCAAAAAATGTTTCGTGACAAAAATATGTTCGTCAAAAGACGAAATAAATCCGTTTACTTAATTTTTATATTGAATAAATTAATTTTAAACATTAATTATAAAATCATATGAAAAATTCTACGTAAAACGTTGTTTATTTAAATCATCAAACAATATGGTACTTCCGCAAGCATATATATACATATATATACATATAATGACGCAGTGTTTATGTATAGTGCTTATGTATAGATTTATATTTGAACTGACGAAGAGATTGAAAATAATATAAATTTAATTTTTTCAAGGAAGTATTACTAGGAATAGTTATGCAAACATGAATCTGCAAATATAAATTATGTACATTTTTACAGTAATGAGCAAAATAGAAGCATTATCTAAACTTCGTATCAAGTGTACTTCGATCTGCATACATGTTATAATGAAGAATGAATATGCAAAATATAATGCAACATATGATAATTAATAACATCATGTTAATAATATTCTATTGATGTGTGATATTATTTTTATCGAGACATAAAGAGACAATAAGTTTCAATATATAGTAAATGAGCATTGATTTATTTATTAAAAAATTTTTTTTTATAAAACGTACTTACATGCTGTTGATTATGATCAACAATCAACATGAAACATGAAATTAATACGTAAACATATATGTATGTTTATGTATATATGTGAGTATAAAGCAAAATCATTTAAATTTATTTAATCTCCTTTTCATACCATTTCATTATCATTATACAATAATAATATTGCTTGCTAAGAACTATTGGTTAATAGAAACTTGGAAATAGAAACAAGTCTAATAAGTTTAACTAAGTTAAAAGTTTCTTGATATCGAAGCGTAGATAATCATGTCTGTTATTATATCTCAAACTAACTTGAATAGTCTTATATTAAAAATTTTATCTACATTGAAAAATAAATATCTTTATTGATATTTGTTAAATTCTATATTAAATAAATATTTTAAGCAATAAACGTTTTTATAAACAAAATTGTTTTTTTATTATAAAATATATAATATTTTTAACTTTTTTATACAATATTTTTTACATTATAATTTATGCAAATATTATACTGCATGAAACGAAACTGTTACGAGATGTACTCACTAAATAGTATTTAATATATACTGCAGTTAATTATACTGCTACTACTAATTATATGA